TGTGTGTAAGAGAGAGAAAGAGAGAGAGAGAGAGCGTCCGCGTGCGTTGTGTGTGTGTGTGTGTGTGTGTGTGTGTGTGTTTGTGCATGTGTGTGTGTGATTGTGTGCGTGTATGTGTGTGTTTGAGAAAGACAGACAGACAAGTAACTGATGTTACTGCCCTGTACATGTACATACTGCATTTTAAGGCGAGAGCAGCACGGTTTCTGGAACCCTTCGCTAGGAACAGAGAAGGAAAGAAACACCGACAAGACGTCAAACGAAATGAGCAGACCTGACCACAGCACTCACGACCTTCACACTTCATAATATAATGATGTAGTAGTACTAAGAACTACTGTTATTGTGAACAAAAGTTCTACTTTCCACGAAAAAAAAAAGTAAACGTGCCTTAAAAAGACAACAACAAACAAACAACAGGCGTCGTCCTGTTGCGGGAAAACCCCCCAAAAACCAAACGGCGATATCCCGAACTCAGACCAAATGCCCACAAAAGAGGTGCAGAAATATCATGTAAACGGAGAGGAAAATGCCTTCCCGGTAATCTGTTCTGTCCCGAGAGGGTGATTAGTGAGTGCTTTTGTTCTGACAGTTCCTTTTTTCCTATCAGACATCTACCGTATTAATTTATCTCTCCTCCCTTAAAAAAATAAATCTAGTAAAACAAGTAAAACTAAGCGTCGGCACCGACACCATACCCTAATTGTATGAAAGTCAGGTAAAACTCTTACTAAACTAAAGAGTACCTGCCAACCACCCATGATATCGTAATGTACTAACAGCCAAAGGAGGTTCTAAGGTCCTTGTAGTGCCCATTGGGCACGATCGGTTTGGTTCGGTTCGGTTTGCTAGCCAGATTGAGAGCGCAAAGCGGCTATCGTGGCACAAGTTTACTGATCGCCCGACTCGTTGCCTCAAAAACAAACGCGTCTGTTTTAAGACGACGAGTCGGGAGATCGGTTTGTATTAGTAGAGGTTTTACGGTGCTCGCAACTGCATTTATAAGGTCATGTGAGCACCAGAAGATTAGAGGTGTTAAAAGAGAGTAACAAACATAAAAAGAAGAAGGGGAGATAAGGACGATATAATGTTTGCTAGGAACTAGGAAAGAAGAAGCAAACCACACCAGAGCACCCGCCAACCACCAACGGATCGGTTCGTATTAGTAGAGAATGGGTACTCCGTATTACATACCGTGATGAGCTGAATAGACTGCACCCCACCCGGCAGAGTTGAGGGCAGGCTCAGGAAGCGGGTCAGCCGTCTGGGCTGGTGACCGCCGTTGACTCGCGGCGGAACCTTGTCCTTTACAGACATGGTGGTCACTGCAGCTGACACTACGACAACCAATAAGCCAAGCCGCAACGCTGGGTTACAGTTTCACACCACACCAGTAAAACTCCCGACAAAACGAACGCATTGAGGGTCTCTCTCACACACTGTTATCTGGCCGATACTGATGGGTCACTAACTGTTATATCCTTTACTGAGGGTCAGCCACGGCTATTCTTTAGTGAAGGTCAAACACACACACAGCTATCTTTGACTGATGGATTACTCACTGTTATCCTTCAATGAGGGCACACAATAATTATCCCTTACTAGCGGTCACCCACGGCTATCCTTCATTGGGGGTCACTCGCTGGTATCCTTTATTGAAGGTCAGTCACGACTGTTCTCTACTAAGGGGTCGCATTCACAGTTATCTTTGTTTCGCTCTCCAGAAAAAAAAGACTCATGCCCAGCACAACGTGATCTAAGATAAGCGAAATAATTTTATTCACGTCACAATTTCTGGTCCAGCATAATGAACTTCAACACAAAATCTCGAACAAGTGAGCCAAAAAATAGCAAGGCGCATTTATTTGATCCCAGATAAACCAATCAATTGCACCACCCCGCTTACCCCAATTAGTAGTTGAAAAAAGACAACAGCAATGAATAATGAGAACGAACGAAGAAACAAAGAGGACTACCCCCTGTCCAATAAAGAGTCCCTTGAAAACACGAACAAAGGCAGTAACTTAAAACCAGTAATCTTGGTAATCTAGCCCTATCTACCTAGAACGCTAAACTGCACTGGCAAAGCATACCCTACACACACACACACACACACACACACACACACACACACACACACACACACACACACACACACACACACACACGAGGTTCTTTAATCAGGAATAAGATCCTATGCCCAGGCAATACACAAAGTAACCGACGCTTCCACGACCAGCACACAATAATCCGCAAGACAGCAGGCTCATAAAAGTAAAACTTCACAAGACTGATGTAACCAAATTCCTCCTGAATTTCTCAATCTCTACACACGCACAGAGAAAGGAAGAAACAGAAAAAATACACTGGCCTTCACTTGGCACTGAACACAGACAAGTTAAACAAAAATAACCGAAAAACACCCTTCACCTCTACGCTTCCACAGTAGGCTATCTGCAAGCCCAAAATATTACGTTCTGAGGGAACTGATAGGTCAGAAAACGTCCGCGTACCTAGCCCACAAACAAGAAACTGCCCCAACACCAAAGAGTTCACACAGTCAGTCACAAGCTGTAAACTCAAGTCCTTGAAGAGCGGCGGCAAAGACGACAGCCCTTTTATCTTACACGTTCTCATCTAACAGACACG